CAAATGTTGGTGAGTTAGACATTATTGGTCATTTCCACTGTTTGAATTAAAGGTTGAAACAATTGGTGATTGCTACATGGTGGCCTCAGGATTGCCATTAAGGAATGGAAACAGACATGCAGGTGAAATTGCAAACATGTCCCTTGACTTGCCTCAGCGATGACCACTTTTAATATTAGGCATCTTCCAGGCACACAGCTACAACTTAGAGTTGGGATTCACACAGGTATGTTTATCAGCCTTATAATCTGAACAGTATCACGTTCTTCAAGTTTGAGTTATGTTGCTATCAGAGCTGTTTTCTCTGACTGGACATTTTCAGTTCTCACACATTTCTGAAAGTAATGTTCTTTAAGTACATTCCTTCAGCTGTGGCAATAAAAGCTGTTTTACCTCAGTTGTAATATTGTGCAAATCAACCCTGTTTTGTTTGTCTTTCTTTTATTTTAGGTTTTGTGGTTGCTGGTGTAGTTGGCCTCAAAATGCCAAGGTATTGTCTTTTTGGTGATACAGTTAACTATGCCTCTCGAATGGAGTCTTCAGGGTTTGGTAAGTTATTATATTGTCTGTTAATTTTTGCTTATAGAAATAGAATTAAAAGCATTTGGTAACATATCGGCATCTTGAGACCTGTGGTTTGGTTAAACAACAATGGTTGATAATCAATTTGAAGAAACGACAGCCAAACTTTACAGTTCTCTCAAGCAGTCATCAATTTCACTCATCTCAGAGTGTGTGAATTGTCAATGATTTACACTTGCACCAAGCTTGTTTTGTGTTCTTCTTTCTATTAGTGTGTGTTTGTTTGTGTAAGTTATATATGTAACTTATTTGATAAAATTAATTTCCTTTTGTTAGTGAATAATATTATGCCATGCAGGGTGGCACTAAAGTTTCCAGGAAAGACCCATATCCCACCCCATCAATTCTTTCCGCCTTGAGTTATTGAGAATGTATCATAGACCTCAACAAATTACACCTGGCCCCAAATGTGCAAAGGCTGGAATGTATTATTTACTGCTTGGGATAGAAATTTAGCCTGTGGATTTTTGAACAACTTGGGCCTTAAAAAAAGGAAAAATTGATAGAATGAAATTAATGGAGACATAATAACAAATTATATTATTTTATGATTTCATATGCTTTTCAAACAACAATATCAATACATAATTTTTATTGACAAGTGTCTTTATATGTGACCTTTTGCATCCATTACAAATATTTTCAAAATTAAAATTCATTGTAATGCAAAGAATGATAACCTACAATAATTCTCTTATTTAGCACTTTGCATTCATGTGAGCCCTGAATGCAGAGAAGTTCTTGAACAACTTGGTGGTTATCATTTGGAGGAACGGGTGAAGTGGAAATGAAGGTACTAGTAAAGGCTACAATCACAAAGCAATAGATTTTATTTCTTCAGTTACAGATCTTTGATAACATCAGAATACTAGTAGTAGTAACTACTACCACTACCACTACCACTACTACTACTACTACTAGATTATTATTATGGTAATTATTGCATGATTACGTATTAGTGTTGACCACATATACTTTAGGAGGTCTCAGTTTTCAATGAACAGCTGTACAATGCAAAATGGAATTAACATGACCAGGATCATTACAGTGCTTTTTTGTTGTTTTTGTTTGTTTGTTGTAAGTTTTCCTCATCAAAGGTACCGGTTCCTAAACAATTGTGTCAGTGATTACTTGCCAAAATAATCTAGCATGTCATTCTTATTTTCAAAGCTTCTGAAGACAAGACTGACAAACCTTCTACTTTATCCTCAGGGAAAAGGGAAGATATTCACCTACTGGCTAAGGGGCGAGATGGATTTGACAAACCCCTTCCTGACCTTAACTTACAAGCTGGGATGGATGAGCATGCATTCAAGTAGCTGTTACAGATTTGTTATCTTAGCAAAAGTTTTACTATTTGTTCCTAAAGAAAGCCTTTGAAGGACTTGGTTTTGTTCATTTGAAAATCTTGTATGGTGGAAACTCTCCTCACAGACACCCTCATAAGCGGACAGCTCTACTTATATGGACACCTTCATGAAACCCCATTTTTCCTTACCCCCATACTAACTCTGTCTTTACACTCCTATAAGCAGCCAGGTCTAGTTACGGACACACGTTTTTGTATCCCGAGGGTGTCGACTCGTGAGAGCTTCTACTGTATTTCATAAAGGGAAAGATTTATTTTCGATCATCTAACCTGTTTTTGTTCCTGTCATTAGTGCCATTTTTACTGCCCACTTACTGAAACAACTACTGCTAATGAAAACTGCATTACTGTATGACATGACTGGTACTTTTGTTAAGAGAAGTATGCATTAAGTTTTAGTTCAACAAAAACATGCTCTTCTCTTCTAGTGATCATTTTCTGCATCAAGGCTCATTTTTGTCCTCTCCATTAGTCAAAATGCATCTTAAAGGGAAATTGCTTGTGGATATCTTGGATATTATTGTCATAAAAATCAAGTATAATTTAATAACATCATGTGGCAACCGTAGTTTTCATATATATGTATGACTGCCAGACAGCACTAAAACTTGAGGATATTTAATAATGTAAGAATCATATTTAACTACCAGGTGAAACAAAAGAACTTGTCCCCCTAGTCAACCTCTCAATGGCTCAAAGTAAACTAAATACAACACTAGCACATTATAACCAGAGTTGCACCTTGCATGACTTGCAGCTTATAGTCACAGTCCATCTTATCATTCAACAGCTAGTTTATCATGCTAATCAAAGATTTTTTTCTCTTCAAAAAGTTTAACAGACAAAATTATTATTGTACAGAGACACATAAGGTTTGGTTTCTTTGCTGCCATATCAGGGCTGTCAGGCTTTATGCCCAAATCTTGGCCTCCTTGTTACGTTTGACTCATTTTCAAACTTAGAATAGCCGGCTTATTTTACTGCCATAGCCGGCTAGTAAAGCTTGCTATCAGATGCTGACAGCCCTGCTTTGCAAAACATAAACAGAATTGTGACTTTATTCAGTTATTTACCTTTATTGGCTATGGAATTATTCTTCTATTAAGGTACAATTAAAAATGTTTTTGGATTGGGTTGGTTAGGCCTAGTTTATCACATTACTATTCGAAAATAAATGCTGAAGGAACTTGCTTGGATGCAGTATAGTAGTGATCATTAGACTCTTATTTCTTATTTTAATGGAACTGAGCATGGGTAGGGTAACTGCATCTGAATAATTTATTTTTAAATGTATATTTGTAGCACAAAAGACGACAATTAAGCCTACCATATTTTCTCAAAAGATCTCCACCCCTTTAATAAACAACACACTTCTGAGCAAAAATATCATTTAAGTGCCTTTCCCTCCCTACACTATTGTTGGCACTGTTGCTGGTGAGATTACCAATCAAAAGAAAAAAAAGGCCTTGAAACTAACTTTTGTCCTTTTCTTACACTGTTCTTATTCTATTTTTTAAAAACAAAGAAGAAAGATTACATAATTTACAAATAAGATAATTTTTTAAAGTGGTCCCCAAAGAGGTGATACATTGAATGTGAAAATTACTATGGGCTGTGGTGCTTTTTTTGAGGAACATGGTGAGCTATTCAACAACTGTCTGCATTAGAACAGAAAACTACAGTATTTTAACTTGCATATCTCACCCATTTTACAAGTGCCCATTTTAATCCTAAATATTACACTGCATCTACATTGCAGACTGTGTCTTATGGTTCCAGGCAAAAAAGTTTGCATTTCAACATGCAGTCCCCAAAAAGAAGAAAGATTTTTGTACATAGTTCCTTCACAATACAGTACAGTTGAACACTGCAAAGCCGAAAAATCCATTTTTTAGAATTTACACAAAAGTTTTCTACATTTTAAAACATAGAGTAAAAATAAAGCATCATATTAAGACATAAATATTTATTATTTGAAGATGCTACCTTATCCTTGGTTAAAGTTTTGAAGACTATTAAAAAACCCTTACTGAAATATTGTGTGTGGTTGCTGTTTTCATATGAAATCAACCTACGGTGTATGCAACAAATTCTGTGAACTGCAACTGTCTGTCCTGCTCTGTGGCAATATAAATATGACTGTCGCAGTTGCGAAAACAATCTGTAAATTAGACTGGAAAAAAGTCTCAGAGCTTCAATGGGATTCAAACCAATGGCCTCTGTGTTAGCCCTGCAGTGCTCTATCAACTGAGCTACGAAGATATACACTGAGAGCTGAGGCCAACTTGTTCAAATTTCATTTAGTCAAACCCACAGTCAAACATCTCTGAACACTGCCTTTAGGACAGGCCTCAGTGGGTACAGCAAGGAGGTGACCATTGTAGAGGTTATAACAAGTTAGAGTACACAAACATCCATTTCCCTATCCAGATTTTCCAGGCACTGTTTGTTTGGATCATTTCATTTCACTAATTTCGCTTGATATCTTGATGTGACTGTGTTAGGGACAAATCATACATGTATTTCTACTACAAGTACTTACAGCTGTAATTGGTGTTTCAATGAGCTTATATATATAAAAAAAACAGGAAATTTATTTTGAAAATAAAAAAATTTTTATTCATCAGCAGATTCATCCATATTTGTACCAAATTCAACAGCTCCCATAAATCTCTCTTGCTGAAGCATAGCTTTTGACTGGTCATCATACTTTGGTCCCAGTGTCCAAAGTTTTTCTAGTTCATAAACAGCTCTCATTTCAGGGAGAAAGAAGTGCACAACAATGTTACCTGCAAAACAAGAGAATATTGAAGTTATGGCTCTCAAATGGAAACTAAAATGGGTTCAAATAATTTCAAGACTTTAAACGCTATGTTTGTTGTATACCCATGCTCCATGACACTTGTTTTCAAAATAGTGTCTCACAGTAATTTATACTGGTAGATAGAACGTGTACAGAACACAAAATCGGGTATTAAATTGGATGAGTACTCAGGCCCCAAGTTTAAACATAACCTTCAAGCTCTTCAGACTGGAGTTCATTCATTTCAAGCTTTTTGGATTTTGAATGCTGTTGTTTTTAAAAATTCTTACCAATATCTAAAGCTGCCCAGTGATCATTCTCTAAACCCTCTACAACCACATGGCCATCTCTTCCAATGCCACGCACCTCATGCCCTCTGAACTATAGAGAAAATAGCCATGAGGGTTAGATCATAAGTAGCTATATTAAATCAGACTCAACTCACTTGGATGATGACAAATGCCTTAACGGAAACATTATACATGTTATAAAACTAAAAAGAAAGTTATTTTGTAAGGAAAAACATTCCCACGTCTGTATGTGCTGATTAGTGGGTGAAAGTTCTGGGGGAATAACTGGATCCTTTTTTTGCAGTAAAGGCACAATAGTATTTTGTAAGCTTGAGTTACTTAGACAAGAAAACCTTGCTTAAAATTCGGCTTAATCATAGGTTAACCTTAACAATCTTTTGAGGAACCGGGCCCAGGGCTGTAAAAAACCTGAAGTCCAGCTTGCACTCGTGACTAGCAGTGGCAATAACATATTGCTTGCCTGGGGTAGTCTCATGCTTGTCTCACTTTATGATTTAGTGCAAACATGACATGCCTAGACCTTTGCCCTTCGGGCAGGTGAGTAGGACTTGTCCTGGACAACTGGACAGGGGTCCCGTTCCTGAAAGCCCGATTAGCATTAATCCAGGATTAAAATTTCACAATGATGGGTAAACAATAATAAACATATCGCCCCATATATAACAAAATTTCACCCACCTTTGCACCCAAAATAAACAACTTTAAAATTTTGTGACTTCATAGAGCTATAACCTTCCTATAACCTTCCTAGGAATATTCTTTTCACATTCCACTATTACAGATGCTTTCTGATATGGATGCCAATTCATGGCCTAGCTATAATGAGGCCCTGTTAGGTAAATATCAACAGCGACATGGCCTTGTAACTTTGACATAAGATAGATAAAATGGTGACAACCAACACAGATATATGGGTTGAAACTGCCACAGTAATGAAGACAGGGACATGGGTTTCTCCTGACTATGTGAAACAATATACACTTAATGTTAGATCCCCAGGGAAACAGTTAGTTTTGTTTTCCAAGAGTCCTGATGTTTCCCGAGATGAAGTCTTGAGAAACATCAGGACTCGAGGGAAAACAAAACTAACTGGTTTCCCGATGGACCCATATTTTCTAACCTTTCACTTCAACAGCAACATAGGAATCACCGGAGTGAATCAAAACAGTCGACTTGGTACTTAAAAGAACACAAATAATTTGTATTCATTCAGTGGTTTTGAGAATTAAATTATTTAATTCTCAAAACCACTGACTGAATGATTTACAAAGCACTTTCCTTATAATATCTGCATCTTTTTCCTCCACTAGCTGCTGTTTCTCTTTCAGCATATCTTTGAAAATCATTGCTTTTAAGCCTGAGGCTTTTTGTTTGTGTTGTTGTGTTCAGTCACAAAAAAGAAAACTGGCAGTGTTTTTCCCCCTTTCGGTCACGCCACTTTCCACCATGCTTTGACAACATGCTGTAATGTATCCCGAGCGGGGTACAATTGCTCACATGTATCACAGTCAAGAATCAACCAGTGGCATTCCTTGTTTAGTTGAGTGAAATAGTATAACAATAGGTTTTGAAATTCATTCTAGGAACAACGGAACCCCCTCCCCCCACACAGAGGGCTTCTATAAAATATAGGAGTTGATATTTTGTGGAATAATTAGGGGGAAGTGTATCTTGTCCAAAAAAGGAAGACTCTGCCCTTCCAAAGGTTCATCTTGCCTACCAACCACTTGTCACTCAGGGATCTTTTCATTCCTCCAATCCAGTCAATGAGCATCTGTTATTATATGCCTAAAACTGTGAGTGAGCAAGATAATGCAAATCCTGCATTCTGATTGG